TCCAAAAGGAAAGAAAAAAGAACGAACAAAACCTAAACAAGTTCTAAAACAAGAACAAACAGAGAATGGGCAAGGGGATTGGTTACGTAAAGGGAAGATGTTAACACCCAAAACGACTATAGTACTCTATAGGAATCCTTTGAAATATCTACATTTTTTGGTTTGAAAAGGTTTGCTTGAAAGGATATTGGGGAGATGAGAAGAGAAATATTTTTTAAGATTTTTGTGTTTGGAGAGACTTATCGCCTCATGCCTACGTATCCACAAAGTGTAATCTATGATCAAAATCCCGTAGTTCGTGGTACAAATAACAAAAAATTGGTTTGTTATGATTGATTTTAAATGTAAAGACAAATCTTCATTTCTAAGTGAATAATTCCACTTAAAGAGATGAATCATGTATAAACTTATGAAAAAGTTTTAAAAGAAAAAGTGCACAAAGGCACAAAAAAGAGTTGGTGAGTTTGATCTTTTTTAAGTCTTCTTGAAAATTAGTCAAACTATGTTTAACATTGATTGACATTTATTAAAGAAAACAAAGTTTGAAAATCACTTGACAAAAGTCAAGGTTTTATTACGAAAGCGGTTTGAAGTTTGAAAGCTAGAAGGTTTTGAAAAAGAGAGGATATTTTGAAAATTAAAGAAAGGGTGGAGAAGAAATGACTATCCTAAAGTATAAAAGTAAAAAGTTAGAGATAAGAAAGATCTAACCGAATCGTAGCACACTTCATAGCAAGTGAAATAAGAATTCCATCCATCTTGAAGCATAAACAAATGAGTAAGCCAAATAAAGGCGAAGATCCATAATACTCCAAGCATAGGGAAATAGTCCTAATTATAAGTCTAAGGGTCTAAGAATAATCCAAGAGGTCCAAGGTCTAAGTCCATCCATGAGCATAACCACACAATTAAGAGCACCAAATTTTTTATAGGTTTAATCCTTTACTAATGTTTTTGGTCTAAATGGACAAAAGAAAAAGAACATAAACATAAAGAAATGGTCCAAGTGGACAAAGGAAAAAAAGGCGGAAGCATAAATAATAATATGATATGAGATGATAATAATGGAGTATAAAAATAAAAGAGAGATAGAGAGCGAGAAAGAAACATAAACAAAATTAGTACAATAATATTGTTAGTGAGTTAGTGATTAGTTGTTAGAACAAATGATCAACAATGGTCAAATGATAAACTTAGGCCAAAGTTAATGGAGACTCATTGAAGGATTGATAAAATCAAAGCCTCCTAACAACAAGCTTCATAGGTAATGGACCTAAGACAAATAATCAACCATACTTGGGCTTTGAAACATAAGTTTGAGCCACAAATGATCATTTTTCGATACGAGACAATTTAACACTATGTTAAGCAATCGTAATTGGATTTATGTAGAAACCACGACTATCTGAGGCCAGTCAATAAAAATGTTAGTGCTAATGCATGCTAGAGAAGTGATATGTAGATAACTCTCCAAAAGCAATACCGCACGAAAAGAAAATAGGTAACGATCTCATCTTCATCAAGAACTAAAATAAGTTCCAATGATATTGAAGATTTTCATTTATCAAAAGAAAAAAACAAATAGAAGAGGATAGGGAATTCCAAATTGAATTACAATCTCAAGATCATTCCATCTTTAAGTTCACCCACTCATCTTGGCGGATTAAAATACTAAACATATCATTAACTCAAAGCATCTAAAATGAATTAGTTGGATCATGAATTAGTGAATGTTTATCCAACATCATATACACCCTAAGTCCAATGAATTTATAGAGGAATATGACCTTTGGAAGTGAAAAACAAGGAAAAAAATTAAAAGAGAAAGGAAGAAGAAGAAGAAAGAACCAAAACAGTCTCCAAAACAAGCAAAGAACACAAATTTGCCACTGGTTAATCAATTAACCATTTTCCATTGCAAATGTGTTAATCAATTAACATTGCTAAGATAAAAAGAAATTTTGAAAAAATTAAGCATCCATGATCCAACTATTTCTTCAAACATCTCATGATCATGAATGAGAATTAACACAAAAATTCAAGTGAAACAACATCGAATATCACCAATAAAACACAATTTGCAAGATCCAAAGATCAAGCAACAAGAATCAACAATAGATCACGTTGTGGAAGATGGATCAAGAACAACAATGGTGGAATGAGGGTTTACCATTTCAAATCTGAAATTGCTTCAAATAGCTTCAAGAACCACACTTTAAAACCTTGATCTACTGAAATTGATGATGAAAAAGTGTTTGGATGAAGGTTTTAGCTCAAAGATTAGTAAGTTCTAATGATGGACTTACTAACTTTCAAAAGAAGAAGGAGCTTTGGTGAATTTGGTAGTTGAAGGGAATTGAGAGAAATTTTAGCAAGGTAAATTTGGCTATCAAAGCTTGTGAAATAAATGAAATGAAGCCTATATTTATAGAATTTAAACTTGGAAATTTTGGTGGTTTGGAACAATTGGAATTTGAATTTGGAGGAAAAATCAAGATCAAATGGTGATTAGTAAATGTGTATAGTTGGAATCAATTGTGATGAGGTAGGGGAATTAAAATGAAGTGATCTAGAATATTATCATGATGAAATATTTGAATTCGGTGCCAAAAATGCTGCAAAATTTAAATTTGCTGTATTTTCACAAAAAACGCACTGGTTAATTGATTAACGATTTGCATGTGCAAATGTGTTAATCGATTAACACAGTGAAAATTTGCCTTTTTGTGTTGTCTTGGCACTGGCTCGATTTTTATGACTTGTCAAAGAAGACATGAGAATAAACTCATGAACCTGGGAGTCTTTTAAATAAAAGTCAATCAAATTTTGGGAAACTCTTGATCAGATGATTTTGAATTATTTGCAGATCAATTTTGACTTTTTTCAGTTGAATTTCATTTGAGCTGAGGGACTGTTGATTGATATTCTTGACCCAAATTCTCTTCCTGAAAAAGAGTTCGTAAAGAAAAAGAAAACATATTTTTGAATTTTAATTAAGGGTTAGTAAACATAAACATAAACAAACACCGAGCATATAAGAAAATAAGGGAGCTCAATGATATCCCTCAGAGACAAGCTTGCAGAAGAAGACAAGAGAACCAAAGCTTGTGATCTTGCTTGTGGTATAAAATGCAAATGATATGTGGGATTTTAAGGGTAAAAATTAGGGTATTACAATATTAATTAATTATGTTAGACATGTGCAAAATAAAATATCATAGGTGTTGTTTTGGTAAATTCTTATTTTTAGCCTCACACATTTCAATTGTATACATTATATTTCTTGATATTTAATGAAATTTTTTGATGTACACTTGTGAGGGACATGCCCATTACTTTAGGCCCACACATCAGAAACTCTTGCACATTAAAAAATAATTTTTTTTAAAATACAAAAAATAAAAGTTTCAAAAATAAAATAAAATCAATTTTTTAAAAATAAAAAAATATATTTATTTTTACAAAATAAAAAGAAAAGTTGGATGGATGAATATTCATCCATTAAAAATATGTTAACGGATGGATTGGATGGATTTTATTCTTAATGGATGGATTGGATTGGATAATTTTAAGAAAATTTTAGTGGATTGTTAATGGACTAATGAATTGTTTTAATCCATCCATTAACAATCCAATCCATATCCATCTAATCCATCCATTTTGCCACCTCTAGTCTTAACTGAGTCTGGTTTAGATCTGTATGCAGTTCTATATAAAGGTCTACTAATCCTTTATCTGCACGCAACCATTCTTGTAGGTAGACCTTTATTTAGTGCATAAGATTGGTCATGATCTAATAACCATTATGGATGCACATGGTTTTAGTTCTAATAAGACAACTGCTTCAATTGCAAGAAAGAGTAGGAGGCTAATACTAAATAACATGATGTATGTGTTAATGCATAGTATTCTGATATCAGGGACCCTGTATGGGAATGTCAATTTTTCCAGACCTGTATGTGACATCAAAAGCGCAAAAGAATGTCCCGACAGACAATTGTTCTTAAGTTCCACCTTTGTTGCAGGAGTGGCAAAATTGTACTGCCTATCCTTCAAGACCCACCCCTTCTGTTGCAAACCCTTCTATATGGTAATCAAACATGTCTTGAGAGTAAGAACTATCAAAACAACGTAAGCACTTCCAGAGCCATGTTTTCCTTCACATCCCCAAGAATGAAATTTGACATCGACCAGTCTAATGGAGGATACCTACAGACTTTAAGGCTACATGGACAAACATGTCATAGAATAAGTGCTTTGATACCGAAAATTTGCCATCCGCCTCAATATGCTCAAGTTATCTATTTTGAATCATGTCATTTCTCATACTAAATTACTTTACTGCACCACACAGGGATAATAAAGTTATTACGAGGGGCATCATTGCGAAGTTGAGGACTATGTTAGAAGAGTGAAACGTTCATGCAAAGGCTTTTAGGATGGCGGGATATTTTGAAAAGTAATGCATTCTTGGACTTAAAATTAAAGCTCATCTATTATCGACCATAGGGTGGTCCTATGCACAACATGCCTACTATCTCCGAAGTTGCTGCTCTAAATTATTGGTGATACTGATTTTGCATCTAAGAGAGACATCATCATCTAGGCAAGGGATGGCCAATTGCAAAGAATGGATGAGTTCCATCGCATACCTTGCGTACCAATACCCCCTCATTTTTACCTATGGTGAAGACGGTTAAGAAAAAAAATACTTCACAGATACCAGCATGAACATTTGGTTACAAAGAAAAATAGACAAACCATTAATGATTGGCTTTCCTTTCGATTGCAGCAACGCAAAAAAGAAGCTTAAATTTTACTCCATTCGCGACGACTTTTTCAATAGTTTTTGGTTGACGGTTATGCCATGATGGAGTCAGAGAGACTTAATTGGTTGCAAAAAGATCAATCTAAATTAAAAGTGGGGAAATATAGGCAGTTAATTATCGTCATCGTTTGTTGGAAGCAAGAGATACATTGACCAACTTTATTTTGACGGTATGGAGATTTCAAGTAAGTTGGGATTCCCTGATTTATTTGTGACATTTACCTGCAATCTGGCTTGGCCTGAAATTTCACGTGTTTCGTCAAACACTACTCTAATGGCACATGACAGGCCATATATCATTACCAGACTATTCAAAATGAAATTTGATGAATTAGTGACAGATGTAACTAAAAGTCATGTCCCAGGAAAGGTCTTAGCATGTAGGTATCTTCACTATTGTTTTAAGATATTCATGACAGTTCATGGTATTTCATTAAATAATTTTTAAACTCTGCACTTGGTTTTTTTTACAGTTATTTACACAATTGAATTTTAGAAGTGAGGATTTCTGGTATGTTGTATGCACAAAGACAATTGGCGCAATATTCAGGTTTGACACAAACCGCGTGAATCAGTTTAATTTTGGATTATTATTTCATGTTTCTTGTGGACATTGCTTAAATACAATTCTAATTACTTTTTAGAACATTATTGTCTTGGATTGTAGATTTGGTATTATTAGACTCAGAAATACAGAATTTAATATTAACCAAAATTGAAAAACTACTACTAGCCAATCGACGTGGTTTCACAGATTTTAAGCCAATTCCATATCCAGACGGGTATGTGATACAACAATTAGGGAATCAACTTATATATGACGAAAGTAATTATGATGTGCTGACGATAAAATCGGAATTTGCTAATCTATTCGCTGCACTTACAGGTTTGTCAGCATGATTATAAACATATTTCAGATTTGACATATATACTCACACTAAAAAGTGCATTACTGTGAAAGAATTATGGAAGTTTTCTTGGCTCAAAAAGGTGGGGTATTCTTCCTGCATGCTTATGGTGGTACAAGTAAGAGATACATGTGGAGAACACTTACAAGTGCATTGAGGTCTAGGCATGATATATGTTTAACTGTTGCAAGAAGCGATATAGCTTCTCTATTATTTCTTGGCGGGAGAACCACACATTCAAAGTTCAAGATACTTGTTCCTACTTTGGAAAATTTTACTTGCAATATTAATTACAATGAGGATATTGCAAACCTTCTAAGGCTAAAAAATTTGATTATTTGGGATAAGGAACCCATGACACACAAGTATGCCTTTGAGGCGAAGGACAGAACATTGAAAGATATGAGGAGTACATACAGTAATTCGAACGATGTATTTGGTGGAAAGGTTGTTATCTTCGGTGTTGATTTTAGACATACTTTTCCTGTTGTTTCTAAAGGAGGTCGTTATGATATAGTTCACTCCTCGTACATATGACATTCTGTTCAGGTCTTAACTTTAACCAAGAACATATGCAGGCATTGTGGCCAGAGTGATATGATAAAACTGAAATGTGAAACTTCTAAAATTGGCTCTTGGAAAATTGGTGAGGGAAAACTTTCCGAACCTAACAACGGATATGCTAACATTGAAATTCCTTGTGAAATTTTAATAAAAAACTTCACCGACCCTATCATTACCATCATCGATAGTACATACCCTGATTTTATTTCTAATTATCAATATAACAATTACCTCAAAGGTAGAGTTATCCTTGCTTCAAAATTAGAAGTTGTTGATCAAATTAATGACTGGGTCCTCGCTTTGATGCCAGGTTGTCGCAACTGCAAAAAAACAATCGGCGGAGAAAATAGAAGAGTCGCCACCAAATATTATTTATCCCGAGTAGGGAAATGAAACAATCAAAGAAAACCTAAAAGAAGGGAGAAGACAAGGTCATCGCAACAAAATCTTGGGTTCGGGAGTCAGTTACGCAAGGGGAAGGTATTAACATCTCTCACGTCTATTGTACTCAATGAGATCCACACTTGTTTTCTAAACAAAGTGTGTGTTATTTAGAGCCTACTACTAAACAAAAACGGGAAAGGGAAAAGAAAAAAGAGACTCGATAGGACATCGTCGCCCTATGCCTACATATTTCCTCGTGCAATGGGAAAGTCAGAGTCAACGTAGTTCGGGAAACTACGGGTGATGGGGAAAGGTTGCTTGCCAAGACATCTTTATATTATGCCTATGTATTTTCATCTGGTATGAGAAATCAGAGAAAGCGTAGTTCGGCAAACAAATTGTGAAGTTTTTTTTTATGAGCAACGTTAAGTTCCTATTCCAGCAGTTAGGGTCGATGCCTATTTGCGGTAGAACAGAAAAGTAACGTACTCTTTTCTGAAAATCAGTTTGAAGAACAATCCCGAAGGATAAACAAGTTTTAAGTTTGTTTATGAGTTTTAGAGAAGTGAATTGATTAATTTGAGATTCACATTAGACTAAATACTATGATATTGGAATGAATGCGTCGCATACCTCCCCCGACGGGATGTACACTAAGCACTCTAGACAAGTAAGGAGAAACCCCTCACTCATCATTCCCCATATGCTTAAGGCTTGTGGCGCACAACGTTCATCGTCTTTATTAAGTGTATTGAAATTGTTTTGAGATGAGAAGAGAAAGAACTCAAAGGTTGAAAAGAAAACAACTATAGGAAACTGAATCCTAATGTTATCATGCACAATGGTCCTAAGATCGAAATTGAAAGGAAAGTCTACCTAATGTTATCATACAAATGATGGACCTAAAGTTGAGGTCAAAGAGGGACTATCCTAATTGTTATCATGCAAAGGATTGAAAGCCTAATGTCTCTCTCACCTCCAACTTAATCAAAAATTAAGTGGAACTAGGAATCCTAAGGGATCATGTGAACAAGCACAAGTAAACACCATACTAATAAATCATAAATGAAAACAAAATCAAGACTTAACCAAGTCTCAAGAAAAGAAAAGAAAGAAAGGAGAATGAGATGAAGAAGAAGATGCAATAAAGTGAAAAAAAACAAGAGGTTCAAATCAAACAAGCAAGCATTGATCTCAATCAAACAAGGTAAACATCAAAAACATGTTAAGGTAAAACAAAGTGCATACATTCCAAACCAAACTCAAATATTGGAAGCCAAAATAAATTGGCAAGACAAGATGCCAATACATACACAAATGACTTAAAGTCCAACAAGAAGTATTATCAATCATCAAGCAAAGTGAAATGAAGTCAAATAAGATGAGAAACAAGGTAGGGCAGTATCAATGTTAAGATGTATTCAACTCATGCCAATGGTCAAATGAAGAGCACAAAGAGTCAAGTCATGCATCATATCTAAACACAATCAATGGCCACACAAAATAAGCATGTAAAGACACACCTTAAAGAAGTAAACATGTAAACTTAAGGCATGAATCCAAACAGGAAGAAACATGAACATGTATATCAATCCAAACATTAACACATGGATCACAAAAAAAAAGTCTCAAAGATAAAGTTTAAAGGATGCATCAAGACTAGTTAAACATCAACCATGATCATCTCCAAGAAAAATACATGAATACAAGAATGACACAAAGCACAAATGGTCAAGTTATACATACCACAACATCAAGGTCAGAAGCATGCTCAAATGATACACATCATATTCATGTCCAAGATATCAAACAAATTCAAGAAGGATCATGCTCAAAATATGATCAAGAAACCACTCAAATCACTCATTCAAAGAAAACAAAAGATCAAGTGAAGAAAGAGATGAGAAATGATCATACAATGGATACTATATCATGAGAATAAAAAACTCAAACATGTCATTCAAAGCATACAAAATTTCGCACGCATCCATTAGACCATACAAGAAAGCATCCCAAAGAATTATGTCAAGAACATCAAAGGAGCAAGGCCAAAACATCATCAACTTGGAAATTCAATCACAAATTGAAAATTAATCAAATGAAAGTGAATACAAATCTCAAACAAATTTAAGACAACATATTATCACATCAACAAATCATCTCAAGCTTCACTTAAACACAAGTAAGCAAAATGGTTATATGCTAGGTCAAACCTCATGCATATTCAATCCAAAACCAAGTCAAAATTAGGCATCAATCAAAAAAATAAAAATGACCTAATAAATTCCAACAAGTGGCTCTAACTTATGTTATATCCATCAAGAACAAGGGTGCAAAATATCTCAATAAGAATTGCACAAGTGCATCATTAAAGCAACTCATCAAGGCAAACATAACATAGGAATCGAGCATGCATCGAGGCTCCACAAAAAGCAATGAGAAATTATCAAAATCAACACATTAAGAAATCAAAACATCCTTCAAACAATCAACATTCAAGTGTCAAGGCATGGTAAAAATATTGGGTCAAGAAGTGTCTAAAAAGCCACCAAACAACAAACCTTAGTTCAAGGGTAAACATGTCAAACACCTCTTAAATTAAATTCAAAATAAAATAGTAAATCAAATGGAAAAATAAAATAAAAAAATATGAAAAATAACACAAGAGACTTAACAATCAGAAACATATTTTTGTGGGTTTTTAAAATGGTTGGAACAATTAAGAATAAAATCAAAAAGAAAATAGAACAAGAATAAAATAAAAAGAAGAAATAAGACAAGGGGGTGAGAAAGTAAAACATAAAATGAACTAAACCTAGTGTTATGGCGCGTTGGGCTGAAAACCCTGGTGTGTGAATATCAAAAACAATAAAGCCCACCAAAAAAACAAAACAAAATCAGCAAATAAGTGAAACGCGCCGTTTCGTTAATTGGCATGTCATCCACGTCATACAAGAATGCCATGCAGGTGACACACGCGCAACAACTCAGCATGGTCCAAGAGTCAACCAAGCCATATCAAAACTGAACCCTAGACACTGGAGCTTTACTCCTGTCGTCTTCTCCGGCACGAGCTCGCTGGAGCTCTCTGAAAACAATGTTAAAACACACAAACAAATACCCTATCCCACCTAATTTTTCAGGTAGATCTCAAATATCACCTCCATTTCCATTTTTAAACCCTAAAAAACCTTAAAAACACGCATGAAATATGAACACCAAAGCTGGACCAACAACAAATTAGCACAACAACCAAACAAATTTAATCCATACAATCTTAAAGACTCAAAAATGCCAACAATAGAGTGAATGGATGTCTATCATGTAAGAAAAAAGAAAAGAAAAGTTACCCCACAAACGCAACCTTGAAGCTTCTGATCTTTACTTTAAAACCTCTACAAACTTCTTCATTTTCTTCTCTAAGCTCCCAAGAAGATAATAGTGACAAGAAAAAGGATGGAGAAGCCCTAGAAAATCAGATTTGAAGAAGGAAAGAATTTCAAGGTGAGAGAGAACTATGTGATCTTTGGACTGCTGAAAAATGGTTCTCCTCCCTCTAGAGTTTGCTTTTGGTTTATATATGATGATTTTGAGAGGTAAAAAAAATTCTTTACTGTGGTTAAAAACATAATGGTTAGTT